ATGCTTATGAACGCTCATTAGTTTATTTTTTTAGTTCGTATACACTTTAGATGTGTATTTAATTGAGACTTTTAATAACTTCTTGAAATTTAAAAAGTTTAGGAGTATTCAATGTAAATTTTTTGAGACTATCTAAAAGTATTAGTGTATTCAATTAAAATTTTTATAGATTTTTAAAAAGTCTTCAAATATCACAATGTATTCAAGTAAAACTTTTTAGAAGTCTCTATAAGTCTTGAAGTGTTCAAATTTTTAATGCCTTCTAGAGACTTTTAAAAGATTTTGGGTTACTAACTTTTAAACAAAAAAGTACTCATATAAAGTCTCAAAATTTGTCTCTCATTAATCATAAGATTTTAGGAGACTTAAAAAAAATGATATATGTTTTTTGCCTAATATTTCTCTTTCATTTTTTCATTCCACGAACATTAGAGTTATGTTTAAAATTTATTTTTTCTATTGATTATATTTATTTCTATTTATCTTTCTCTCTCTTATTATTTATCTTTATTTTCTATAAAAAAATAAAATTGGATTCTTATAACTTTTTTTTTTCTTTTTTCATTCATTTTTTTGTGAAAAATTTTATATGACAAATTTATAATTAAATGTAAATACATTATTTTTTTTACTTATTTTAAAGAATATTATATTAATAATATTGAATATTAAATTTATTTTTTAGCACGCACGCACACATTATTGTATGAAATCCACGTGAATTTTAATTCAAATGAAAGTTTTCAAAAGTTTTCAAAAGTTTTTTTTTTTTTTTAATTCTACAGAAGTCCAGATATCTACGAAAGACTTCTACTAATTTCATACAAATCTACAAAAAATTTACGAAATCCACATAAATATCAATTAAAAAAGTTCATCATAATTTTCAAAAATCACAATTGAATACACCCCATTGACTCTTCAAAGTGCTCACTTAGATGCCCAAACTCGTAAACATATTTTTGATAACACAATCGTTAACTAAACACTTATCTTAATTTTTTTTATTTTTTTTTTTAATTTAATATTCATCTTACCAAGCACACCCTGATATTATTTCGTAAATATTTAGATAAGTGTTAACTGATTATATTTCAAAGAAAAAGAAAAGAAAAGAAAAATACTGAATATTCATCCTATGCCCATATTGTATATGAAACAGAATTGGACCACCCTAAGGCTACCCACGTGTCAAATTATAAAAAGGGGCCACACTAAAATGTCACAGCCAATTAATAGCCACGTCTCTCAGAGCCCACCATTTAGCTTTCTCTCACCGGGGTTTGGTCCGCCGGCAACCTGGGGGGGCCACCACTCAGCCACCGTGCTAGACGGGTCCACCACCACCACCTCGGGAGCAGGTTCCTACCGTTAGTTCATGACCACTAATGTGGGCCCCCACTATTTATAACACAAACCCAAACCCACACGTATGTTGACCTCTCCCTACTCTGCCCCAGCAAGTCTTAGACCTCGTTTGTTTCTCGTTTTTAGAAAAATGAGAATGAAAAATATAATTGTTACGAATTCCACACAAGAGAGAAAAATTTTAATTTGGTGACTTGATGTGATGGATAACGATCATATTTTTCATTTTAATGAAGAAATAAGGGAACCAGACATGTGCGTGTCTTAGTGATTCCTACCCACTCTCACACGTGCACATCATTCCACAGCCATCACTGACTTGGGCACGTGCCACGCGTGTAAATTATTTAGCCCTCGTTTAATCCTTATTATTTTTAAAATACATTTATTTATTATTTTTAATACATTTTTCAATAAAATAATATTACAATTAAATTCAAAACTTTTTATTTTTTAAACCGCACATTTTCCATAAAAATACTATTCTATAATGCAGTTTGAAAAAAAAGAAAAATGAGACTTAAACATGCTCTAAATTTTATCCACAACCTACCATTGTAATATGAGAACTCTCTATTCTCCTCAATGGTCTAAAGGTGCCAAAATGTCCGTGTTCTATTCAGCAATTTTATGTGGATTAAATTCACGTATGACCACTATACTTTATAGTTAATGTTATTATGACTATCCAAATTGATTTTGATTCATCATAGCAATTGTACATTATATTTAGTGTCACCATAATCACCTAAATTAATTTTGATTCATCATGGCCACCAACGTCATATAATATTTCAGTCAAGCTACCCGATTACTACCACTAAAAAAAAAAAAAAATGCGCACATACACTATAAAATAAAAAATACCCAACATGGTAATCATTTAAAAACTTTTTTTTTTTTTAAAAAAGACTTTATATATTTTTTTCTTGATTTGTGTTTAATTTAATTACATAATTTTTTAATTTGGGTTAGTGGATTTTTCTTTTATTTTTTTTACGCAATAAATTTTTTCTTGATTTGTGTTTGATTTATATTATATAATTTTTCCTAATTTGGGTTGGTGATTTATTTATTATTATTATTTTATGTGAAAGTGTGTGTAATTAGTTGTATATTTTGTGTTAGCAGAAATTAAAAAAAAAAAAAATTTGTTTCTGATTTCCTATATGTTTATTTTTTTGGTTCTTTTTTTATTTTTGGGAAATGATTACCATATTGTGTATTTTTCTTTTAGTTTCTGATTCTCATTTTTTTTTTCTTTTCCTTTTTGTTGGGGTAATAATTATGTGTGAATTTTTTTAGTGTGTATATTTTTTTGTTGTTGTAATAATCTCATGATTTGACTTGAACCTTATATAAAGTTGTGTGATCATGGTGAATCAAAAGCAATTTGGATGGTTTTGGTGACGCTAAGTATGAAGTACAGTGATCATAATGAATCAAAAGCAATTTGGATGGTTTTGGTGACGCTAAGTATGAAGTACAGTGATCATAATGAATCAAAATCAATTTGAGTGGTCATTATGATACTAAAGGCCTATTTGATTTGTCCAATTTTCCATGGATTTTCAAATTTCTACCTTTTTAGCTTGTTAGATTTCAAAATTTTTTTGACAATTCCGTTTCAACCGCTCCCTCCACACATGTGCAATTTTCTTTGTTTTGTAGGAATCCATGGGAATTGTGGGAATTGGTTTTCCAGCTAGGGTTTTTTTTTTTTTTTTTTTTAAATTTTTTTTGAAAATTGGAACAAATTCTATTCACAATTGTAAAAATTATATCCCTTTAATCGACAATTTTCATGAAAAATAAAGTTAAACGAACACCAAAAGATCGAAAATTTCAACATTTTTTGGATGAAAAATTATACCAATCAAACACATTTAATTGACAATTCCCAGAAAATAAGTCCTAAGCAATTCAATTTCCTAAAATTCATTTTTTTTCCATCCAAATTTCATTCTTACAATCAAATGGACCTTAAGTATAAAGTTAAATCACGATGAATCAAGTTAGTATACAATTATCTGATTAGTCATTGAACTTTGTATAAGGTTTCCAAGAATCATTGAACTTCAAAAGTTCTCACATTAATCATTGAACTTTGCAAAATGTTATCCCATCCATCACTAAATGATCCTTTGGAAACTTTATGCAAATTTCAATGACCAATTAGGTAATCTACCTTTTTTTAGTCTTTTTTCTTTCTTTTTTATTTTTCTGTACTCTTGCCCCCCACCCCCCTCAATTTTATTCTCTCTTATATCGTCAAACTTAGAAAAAAGAATAATCTTTTATCCCTAGGGTAATCGATAACATTGTGTGTTGACCTCTCTAAGATCAATTAAGCAACAGAGATTCATACATTCAACTATTTCGGTAGAGAACACCTTCAGCATTGATCACTTAGTACTATTCAAATTTGAAATTCATACACATTTTTAGCTAAAAATTTAATAGATTTCTAGTTTTTATACAGGTGTATTCTAATGGAAAGACGATTGAAGTTGAAACAGTCCATAGAACTATTATACGACACTATAGAGTTCACAAAAAAGAAAGTTATAGCAAATTGTTAAACTCAAAACCAAATCTAGTTACTTGATTGACAATATTAGAGATAAAAAAATGTGCGAGTACAAAAAAATAAAAATAAAAAGATACATGTTTGGTAACTGAACATTGCGAAAGTTTTTCAAAGAGTCACTGAACTTCAAAAGTTTCACAATTAGTCACTAAACTTTGCAAAATGTTATCCCATCCATCACGATTCTATAACTAACGAGAATTTTTTTTGAAATTTAGTGATCCCCTTGAAATTTTAGGCAAAGTTTAGCGGCGAATCAAGTAATTAAGTCGTAAAAGTTAGATATTGTGAACTTTTGATATGGAATGAGTAAAATGAACATCTGGACTAAAAATATGCACCAGATGGAAACTGCTCGAGATTGATCAGTAATTGATATGTAAAATAATGAAAATGTTTCTATTCAAACTTTTTGATTAAAGAGTTTCCAGAAAAACTCAACTAAGCACATCTTTCCTCAATGTCACTTGCATATGAACATGCAAGACTTGAGTCGATCCTACCTCCATTGCTCATAAAATTGTATCCTCAACTGTGTTCTAAATGTCCAAATGTATCGTATTGTAAAAGATGGGAGATGTTAAATACCTAAAGCCAACAACAAGCTCTACTCTACCTATTTGATTAGATATCTTCGTATACAAGTTCTTTTTGTAACACACTCATTGCTTTAAACTTTTAGATGAAATAGTTAAAATGAAGGTGACTATCAATCAAGAATATGTAATGAAGAGTTAATTGTTCCAGTGGTTACTGAATTTTAGTCCATATCTTTGATTGGTCACTGAAGTTTAATATGTCGAGTTTTGACCACTGAACTTAGGTCAATGTCTTCGATTGCTCACTGAACTTAGATCCATATCTTAGATTGCTCATTGTAGTTTAAAATGTCGACTTTTGGCCACTAAATTTTGGAATATGTCATACGTTACTCACTAATATAACTATTGAATTTTGAAAAATATTGAGTTTATAGTAAATAATGTACAACATTTTTCAAAATTCAATAAATAATGCACAATATTTTTCAAAGTTTAGTGACCAAAAATTCGACATTTTAAATTTTAGTGAACAATCGAAGACATGAACCTAATGACCAAAACTCTACATTTTAAATTTCAGTGATCAATAAAAAATATGGACATAAGTTCAGTGACCATTGAAACAATTAACTCATGTAACGAACATGTGATGCAGCCTCGAAATCGAAGGGAAGGGTCTAACTTTCTGGTTGGGTACTGTAAGATTTAATCAAATTATCTGATTAAGTTCTTAGATAATCCACAAGAAATTCAAAGCCTGATTATTGAATGTATAATTTCTGAAGTAACAGAAACAAGTAAAGCCACGAACGAATTTCCTCAGCATCTGAGTCTTTGTCGTGATTTCTCAACCACAGAAGTGCAACTTGCAGCACTTGAACTTGGCAAACTCTGAAGATTAACTTGGACCGCCGACTTGTCCAGCTGTGGCTGTGCTATGTTAGCGCCACCAGGTTGCACGGTGGCGAAACCTGCAGATATAGGCCTTGCAGATGCAGAAATAGTCACCAATGGCGGCCCATTTTGTACTGCCTGTGGAATGATAAGAAAAGTTGGTGATGCGTTTGCATTTGGTGGTGCCGCTGGTATAGCCCACATAGTAATCAGCGGCACCAGTGCGCGCGCCGGAGTTGGTACAGTTGACATTAATGGAGCTGACATTGAAGAATTTGTTGAAATAATTGCGGGATTTGTAGTTGTGAGATTCATATTAGAGTTAGAAATTTTGTTGCTGACAGTGTTTATTTCCACAAATTCGCTATTATCGGGGCGTTTGCGTTTGCGGTTTGTCTGGCCGCCGCCGTCCGTGGCGGTGGAGCCGGTGGTGGGGATTTTTAAGATACCGTTGACTGACATGGCAATGGCTGGGACAGTGCCGGTACCGGTGGCGGCGATGATGGAGGGCTCGGCTTGTTCTAAGAGCCACCTAATGGTTTCGCCGTCGGACTTGTGCCCGAGCTCTCGGGTTAGCTGGAAGACTCTGGCGGCGCACGTGGGCGGCATTCGGATTCTCCGCCCTCGGCCCTCAACTTTGGTGTGACGGTCCTTAGTCGATGATCTCCTCGGCGGCGGCGACACAGCCGGCGGCGGGGGTTGTGTAGTTTGTAAAGAAGGTGCAAGTCCTTTAGGTGGAAAAATTGATTTCTCCTCTGTGTCAGGATCTTCTTCCTTGAGAGTTATTAATGGGATTGAAGTTGGTGTCGCCATGCAAAGGGATTGAACCACCGTGCACGGCGGCGCTGGCGGGCGGCGACTTATAATAGATCTTTAGAGGGGGGCCGGGGCGAAGAGAGCGAGCAACGGTGGCTAGACGAATGAATCTTGGAAGTCCCTATAAATAGATTTTATTTTCATTTTGATAGAAGAAATCCAACGGTTGTTAGCCAACTAGTGCATCATGGGCCCACATGAAGACAATGTGTGAAGCCTTTTTTTTTTTTTTGGTAGAAGACAATGTATGAAATTTCTCCATGATGTAATATGACCCACGACAAAATTAAAGTATTCTTACGTCTAAAATAGAATTATGTAATATAATTTCTTTTTGTCTCTTGTTTCTTTTATACTTCCTAAACTTCAATTAAAATTTTTTTGTTGTCCTCTTGAACTTTAATGATTTAATAACTATTTTTTTTATGGGTGTTTAGAGTTCATTTTAATAGTTACTTTCTTAGGGCTTGTTTGAGCCCCATTTTTTGATCCAAAAAATTCATTTTTTGATCCAAAAAATTGATTTTTTGACCGTTATTTCACTATTTCAACTGTCATATTTGACTTCTTCTCTCACAGGTGGACCCCACTTTTTCCCTAACAGTGAAAAAATCAATTCTCAAAATCACTCCCAAACAGGCTCTTAATATACTTATTAAGCCCTTGTTTGAGTCCTCAATTTTTTCATCAAAATACATTCAACGATGATTTGACCCACTCCAAACACACATTATTCAATAAAATAATATTATAAATAAATTCATGATTTTTCTTTATCTTTTAATTGCACATTTTTCATCAATACACTATTTAAAAATGCATTTTATGACAAGAATAGTTCAATTGAATTTAAAAAAATAATAATTAATAATTAATCAACACAAAAATGTAAAACTCTTTAAACTTTGAACGGCTCGCATATTCATCCATCTCTATAAGAACAAATAATGTTGTTATTCAAAATCAAGAATGTTAGTGTACCAGTTTAGATAATCATATTTAATAGATTCAATTAAATAAATCATGTTATATTACATTTAAGTGAATATATCATTTAATGTCATGAAGTTGTCATCTGAATTGATACTTGATATCAGTAGTGTTCAATAGCAAATTGTCTATATACATGGTGGATTGCGATTCGATTCATTGTATTTGGTAAAACAAAAATAGTGATAGTGATTTTGTGTTAATAACCACCATAGACAACATTGTGTGGATTAGAAAAAGTGACATACTTGGGGCTGATTAATAACTCTTTAAGTGGTAGGGTATTAAAAAGGGATAGTACTCCCCACAACTACTATCCTTCATTACATTACTACTCTTGTACGACCTTTATATTTGAAAAGTAAAAAAGTTGTAATTTTCATAAAATGTGTAATTAAAATTAATTGTTCATTTTGACTTGAATTTTAACGTATTTTTTTAGTTAAACCAGACTTAAACTTAATATTTATTACAATTTATAGTACGAAATTCATGAAGTGGGATTAAATCCATTCAATTTTTTGAACCATTCAAAAATAGTTGATACCGATGTTACGGACTATGAAGTGTATTGGAAAATAACTTATGACAGTGGTATCAATTAAGTGATATTGATTGGGAATATGTATAAAGTTAATTCTAAGAATTTCAATATAGTTTCGATTTCTTAATTATCAATTCATACATAAGAGAATTGAAGCAAGGCCATTTCGGTACTCTCACTTTTGGCAAAAACATCTGATTTCCTTAACATAATTATATACAAACAGCATTACTCTTAAGAATAGACTCACTTGATGAAATTTGTTGATAATTAACCGTAAAGAAATAAAATGATTTATTTTTCTATTTGTATATACCCATAGGCAAACAAAATTCCTACTTTTCAATTCAACCCTTGAAGGCACTACTACCTTGCTAGTGGTGGTGGAGGCCAGCTCGTGGTGGTGGACCAACGGTGGTTTGGTGGCCCTAAAATTTTACATTTTTCATCAAATGTTCTGGACTTAGAGTAAAGTAAACATCGGCCCACTTTAGGTAGGACCCTCTATGACAGTGCCTGGCCCACCTGATTAACAGTGGGTTGGTCTGGAAAGGGACCATTGAAATACAGTGGGGGGTATATTGGTTTTAAATATTTTGAACATGTGGGGTACTTTTTGTTGGATAAATCGACATTATTAGGTAACACGATTTACAAATAACAAAATAAATAAATAGTAATAGGAAGGCCTTATCCTCACCACCAAAAAAAATAATAATAATTAAAAAAAATAAATACACATCCATTTTAGTGAAGAAGGTTAATTTTGTATGTTAACTTATATAACTTAACAAATGATAGGTGTAACAAATATTTTCTTCAAATAATATTTAAAATTTTAGACCAATAGTTAAACATTTTATTAGATTGATCTCGAAACCTTATAATTGGGTTGTGGATGTTGTTAAGTGTTTCACATCTTAGTAGTACTGTGGAGCATGTATTGGTTTAATGAATTTTCACGTATTATATGCTCATCTGAAGTTCGATTTTATTTTTAAAATTTGGTTTGTTCCTAGAAGTTTGGAGTCGAGCATGCTTTCAATGGAACATAACATGCCATTTAAAGATGATTTGGAAGGTTTTTGTTCTGAATTGACTATCCCCTCACACAATTTTGACCACTCGACACATCATTCGTTCTTAACAAATGGGAGGACATCAACACGCTTTCTGCAATATATTACGGCATCTTCCGATCTAGTTACAAGAAATGATATATGTTGAGATTTTAAAATTATATTCGAAGGATGACAAGTTCGAAACAATGTATCTCTAACTTCTACAATCATTTTAACTAGTTTTGTGGGGCTATGTATTGGTTTTGCTAGTTTGGTCTTCTTTAACTGTAGGGGACACACCTTGGTCTATAATATTGTCAATGGTCTTGAATTTCGTTTCTATTGTATAGCATTTGATGAGCTAGACAAATAAAACCGTAAGGGTGGCTCATCAAACCCTAGATTCTCTAATCAATTTTGACTTAACTTCGAATACGAAGTTTATCGCATCAATTTTTATTTTTTATTTTTGGCCAAAATAAAATTTGTTTCCAACCAAAAAAATTATGAATTATGACCATTCAATCATAGAAAATGACTATAATACTCTTTTATTAAAATACCTTGTAGGCACTGGCGGACGCACAGTGGGTCCTGGTGGGTCAAGTGACCCACCAACTTAAAGTTAAGATTTATTTTATTTTATTTTATTTTTTTATTAATGGAAGCAGAAGAACTACAGCCTGAAAAATCTGATGTTTTAATTTTTCAAAGAACGTTAAAGATTTATTCATCAAAAGTTGTATACCTCATTTTTGGGGAATTATTTCTTTTTTATGATTTCTTTTGCATTTTCTTATGAAAATTGAATTAGTGATCCAATTAAGTGCTCCAATTTCTATCTTGTTTTGGCAATTTTATGGTAATGAATTCTTGCTGTGATTTTTTTTCTTTGTTTGGATTATAATGCATTTGATAATTTAACATTTAGAATTGCTGGAATTTTCGTATTTTTCACTTGAATTAATTGTGACGAAAAAATAATTTGGATGTAAATATGCGTTTTTATTATTATTACAATGTTAATGAAAGGAATATTCGAGGTAAAAGTGATGAAAATGATGTTGGATATAAAAAAAGATGACAAGCATAGTGGTATTTATATAAACGTAAATTTGTATTTTTTGAAAGTTTAATTGTGCTCCATTAACTCAAAATGTTTGCGTTCGTCACTACTTTTAGGCATCTAAGCAAAGTTAGGAAAGAAATATAGTAAATTTAATTTTGCTAATATGTTTAAAATGAGAAATGTATATTTGTTAAAAATTTCAAAGAGTAGATATTAATTGAAAAACGAAAATTGGTAAACACATACACACTGTACCTTTTAGTCACTTCACACCAAAAATTTTTGTTTGATGTATCATATTTTAAGTTTAATGAAAGTCCCAAACGTTATGTCGGCATGCCTTGAAATAAGGTGCAAATATTTTGTGAACGTTTGTGTTTGTCGCTAGTTTTCTTATTTAATATAAGAATGACAAATATGTCTCTTATGCGTTCATATCATTTTTTTTTATTTAATGAAAACCGTCATAAAATACTAAAATTAAGCAAAACCCTACCTTTAAACTTAACACTTCAAAAATAAAGGCTTAAAGATTTTATTTCATAATCAGGTGTTCATAAGTTTTAATTAAGAATAATATATTTTTAAATTAGTTAATACAAAATTAAAATGAATTAATCATATAATAACAATTTTTAATACTTATCTAAAAGGAATTCAAATCTACTCACATAATCGATGACTGCATCAAAGATACAATGTAGCCTTTTTGCCATTATTATTGAGAACTTTGGAAGTTTTTGAGTTAAAAATTGGATAAAAATATCTATATGATAATACATTACCATAATCATCCCTTTCTCTTTATCTCTCTTCCAACCCTCTTTTTAATATCTATGCTATATTGTCCCACATGGGGTGATCGAGTTGGTGGCGTGGGTGACTGCGGAGACCTTTGGTCACTAGTTCGATTCCCCTTACCGACACTTTCTTGGTCGAGCCTGTTGCACAGGATTTGCTTAGTGCGATTACCTGGCTGGTGTGATTTGCAAGCTATTGCGTTAGCCGAAAGTTTACCCAATGAGCACCCGAAGGGTAACGGGTGCGGGTTCTCCTATCAAAAATAAAAAATAAAAAAAATCTACGCTATATCTATTTCTCTCTATAGCATATCTTTCTCAACCGTGCCTTTCTTCAATCCCCACGTTGAATCACTCTAACCTGCCATTATCACCACTGAGATTTTGCACAACATTAAATTTAAAAATTCTAGTATAAAATCTTCTGTTTAAACAACATTCACCATACGTTGTTCTTCAAAATGATGTTAACTCGAAGAGCGGATGAAATCCGAAGAGATAAAGAGAGGAAAAAGGGAGAAAAAAGTTGAAGAATCATTTTCACCCAAGAGAATGAAGAAGTCTAGATGGAAAATCCTTGAAGAAGGTGAACTCTCTAATATGCACTTGTATTTTTTTATTTTGTGCTAATGCTATCCATGTGCCAA